GAAAAACTTTGATATTTCTGTGAGAAACTCGAGTTCGAACTGGTATTATCGTCCAGCAATTTTTCAGCGATATTTTCAAGACAAAACCTTCCATTTTTTTCCCGCATATCGTGTTTTTTCACATCAGCGCGGTCACCGTTTTAAAGTTATTATTATACATATTTATATGGACATATGGCAACGCCGAGTAGGCATCAACTGGAACCACGTTGATTACGGCGAGCCTACCACTCCGATGGAGCCCGGCTCGAAAAGTCTGGCTCCATTTGGGGGTCAAAAAATATACATGGAATAGGTTTTCTATAAGTGTTAACTATAATATTCTTTGCTAGTACTCATTACTCATAACAGCGAAATTCACTGTTTTTTGACATTGCTTCGACAATTTGACGTTTTATGTGTGAATCAAACGTCAAAAAAGAGCGAATTTCGCGGTTATGAGTACTAGGCTTAATCCCGTCAAAATAAAAACATTGTTTTTTGTTTATTATTTGCCAACCAGACGCCATTTGGACAGGTCGTTGGATTGCCTAATTCTGAAAAATGCTAATTTTTATGTTATTATTGTCCCAAAAAATTCTAAAAATTCTAAAAAATTCTAAAAAATCCTAACAAATTGGGCAGGCTTTTGAGCATGCGCAATAGATAAAAATTCTAAACTATTTCTAAAAAACTCTGGTTCAATTCTAAAAAATACTGAATAATTCTAGAAATTGCTAAAAAATACTAAAAAATGCAAAAAAATACTGATAATTCTGAAAAATTCTAAAAATTCTATCAGTTTGTACAGGGTGATCTATTATAAATGTCGACCCTGCTAACTTTATCATTTGACGTTTTTGACAGAAGTGTCAACTGTCAAATACAAAAGTTTTAAGAAATTATCATTTTTTTTTAACTAAGTTAGTTTTAGGCATATAGGGTGCGTCAAAAAAGTGCAGCAGTGTGAAGTTATATTTTTTTAAATGGAACACCCTGTATATTGTGCGCTTATTTGTTAGTCCCCTTACCAGTTCCAGCACCATACTAGATAATATGATTTCAACGATATACGGTTTGATATGGTTTTTTCTCTGTTTATCTTCAATAGTTATAGGGAAAAACGCGAAAATCCCTTGCTAGTTCTCTCATGTTATTCTTTCAAAAAAAATAATAAAAACTGGATTTATTATAATATAATATTTCACCTTGTATATTAATGAATAAAATTTGAACAATAAACTGTTCATAAAAAAAATTCTCTAAAGCTTAAATGGTATAATTTTTCTTTTTTCAATATGAAACCTTGAAAGGAGTTTTCATGTTTTTCCTTATAAATATCAAAGATTGACATCAAATCGTATATCGCACAATATGCAGGGTGTTCCATTTAAAAAAAATGTAACTTCACACTGCTACACTTTTTTGACACACCCTGTATGTCTAAAACTGACTTGGTTAAAAACTTTCGACAATTTATTGAAACTTTTGTATTTGACACTTTTGTCAAAAATGTCAAATGAAAAAGTTAGAAGGGGGTGACATTTATAATAGATCACCCTGTACACCAAAATTCTAAGAAGGTTTTCCGCTCGGGGGAACCCACCTACCTATTTTTTTACACCAAAAATAATTATTCTAAAATTTTGAAAAATGCTAATTCTCGAAAAATTCTAAAAATTCAAAAAAATTTCCAAAAATCCCAACAGATTGCGCAGTGCGCGGGCTCTTAAGCATGCGCAATAGGTGAAAATTCAAAATTATTTCTAAAAAATTCTAATTCAATTCTAAACAATACTAAAAAATTCTAAATAATTCTAGAAAATGCTAGAAAATACTAAAAAATGCTAAAAAATACTGATAATTCTAAAAAATTCTAAGAAATTCTAAAAAATTCTATCAGTTTGTACACCAAAATTCTAAGGTGGTTTCCCTCTCGGTAGCTTATTAAAATTATCCAGACCTTTAAAAAAAAAAACAGAATTTCCAGCAAGCTTTTTATTTCTACGTTGTATATGGAAGTTCTGCTGCTGCCTTGTATTATGACTGTGGACTTTTTTTTTAATTATTATTATTTATTTATTTCAGACCTTAAAACAGTACAATAAATACATACTGGCACCAAGGCCTTCAAAAACTAACAGTTACATATAAGTACATATTAAGTAGATAATAATAAATTACAGGAATATCTTTCTTCAAAAACTATCTTTGATATACTTTTTCAGGTTGCAGCTCACTTTCGATTGACTTCCTATAAAATTAACTTTGGGTATTTTGTTGAATGTCTGTACACTTCGGTGAACTGAGTCCTGTCCGTTTTTTGTCCTAACATTGTTGTTTCTAATGTTTGTATTTTTCTTTGTGGTATACATATGATATTCATTTTGTTTCCCTCAGAGTCAAATTTGTTTTAATCAAATTTTCCTTCATATAATGTATTAACTTGCTCTATTTTAGGCATTTCAATTATTGTCTAATATTGAAAAATGGAAATTGCTGATATAACTGTTCACTGAGGGTTGACCACACTAATGAAAATATTGCTTTAATGGCCATATTTTGTGTTCTCTGTAATTTATCCAATAGGTATTCACTAGCATTTTCCCAACACGGAATTAAGTACCTGATATGTGGTTCAATAAAACTGTTATATGTATAGTAAATACCTTGTGTTTTTATTCAGTGGATACTGCCCCTATGAACAGTACTATTTTTTGAATCACACTTGCAATGTGAGCCTGCCATGATAGCTTACTTGACTTGTAATTAAAAGACCCAAATATTTATATTCGTTTAGTTTTTTTAAACTAGTATCGTTTATTCTAATAGTATGTTGATATGGTCGATAGGTCTTTTTTCCTTTTTGGGTGACTTTCAAGTACACTGTCTTCTCAATATTTATGCTTAGTTTGTTATAGCATAGCCAATAATAATACAGTTCAAGATCCCTATTTACAATGTCTTCAACCAGTTGACCACCTTCACTTGTATACACCAAAACGGTATCGTAAGTAAACATAAAATTGTTGATTGAAGTCCGATGAATTTCATACTATGAACATAAAGTAAGTATTCTAAGGGTCCCAAAACTGATGCCTGAGCTACACCAACTTGGGTGTACAAGCTTTACTACTAGATTCACCATTTACCACTGAGTATTGTTCTCTGTTCTTTGAATATGTTTCCAACAGTCTGTAGGTAATACCTCTGCATCCCATGTTATACAATTTATTAAAGAGGATGTCTATATTGACTGTATCAAAGGCCTTCTGAAGATCAATGCACACCAATACAGCAATCTTGTTTTTTTTTCCTTTGATATATATTCCAGAAGATCTGCAGTAGCTCTCAAAGTACCATTGAAATTTGCTCTGACTGGTATGTGATTCCTCCAGAAACAGAGTATAATATTTTGATCCTGAGTTGATGTTTCTACTCGAGTTTCTACTGCTCTTGCCTCTTTCAAGAAGGCATGTAAGAAATACATCTTGGAAAAAAGGGACTGATTTTAATTTTTGTTTTTATTTCCATCGAAATATCCACTTTTATTTTGAGGCACTTCTTCTAGTTAAATGAATTCAATGGTTGGATTAAACACCTTTTTAAAACAACAAATTCATATTAAATGAGTACTGAGGTGAGTAAGTACCTACTTTTTAAATTTTTTTTAACTTTCAGGCATTATTTTTTGAATAGGGGCAGCTGTGTTGAATATCTACCGCCACTAACCTGATTTTTTTTTTTGTTATTTTTATTTCTATTAATTTAAAAATATTTTTGACCATGAGGTGTTGCTGCTTCTACTCTAAACCAGTGGCAACATCGCTATTTAGGATGGAACACCCTGTATATTTTTAAAATTTAAAAGGGGAATAAATTAATTTCAAACAAAACAAAAACAGAACTTCCAATAAATCCTAATATTAAACCGTTTAATAGTTTCAATATTTTGTATAATTCAGTTTTCTTAAAGTTGATTTTCAAGAATTTCTCATCTTTTGGTCTTTCACTATCAATATAATCATATGATAAGCTTCCAATTTTCCCCTTTTTACCAAAAAAATTTCCCTCCATAGTTTTTCAGAAAAGCATCAAAATGCGTGAGTGTGCATTTTGTTGAATTTAGTTTTCAAGACTTTCTCATCTTGTGGTTTTCCACCAAAAAATTTTGAAATTTCAATATGATGAGCTTTTAATAATTTCTTCGAGATTTTCTTTTTTTTACCCCAAAAGTTTTAAAATGTTCCTCTCACTAAGTTATTCACAAAAGTATTGAAATATAAGAAATTGCATTTTCTTTAATTTAAGTATTTAAAAGTGGATTTTTAACAATGTTTCATCTTGTGGTTTTTCATTAGAGATATTTGAATTTCCAATACAATATAAGCTTTCAATTTTTTTTCACCTTAAAAGTTCAAAAATATCCATTCATGAGTTTTTTTCAGAAAAAAATCCAAATACAAAAAGGTGCATTTTGTTTAATTTAGGTAAGGTTGATTTTTCAAAATTTCTTAATTCTTTGTGATTTTCTAAAAGTTTCAGAAATTGGCTTTCACTAATTTTTCTGAAAAAAATTAAAATTAAAATGTAAGAAGGTGCAGTTTGTTTAATTTAATTTTTCAAAGTTGATTTCCAAGAGTTTTTCTTGTTGTGGTTTTTTACTGAAAAAATTCGAAATTTTATTTTGACAAGTTCCTGATTTTCATCTTTTTACTCCAAAAGGTTCAAACATTTTTTGTCCCTAGTTTTTGAAAAAATTATTAAAATGTAAAAGGAAAAGGGTACTTATTGTTTTATAGGTTAATTTTCCAAAATTTCTCCTCTTGTAATGTTCTGTTGGAAAATTTTCTGTTCATTTTTCTTTTTTAACTTTACAGTTTCAAACATTTAATTTTCCTAGATTTCGAGAGAAATATTGAAATATAAGAGGGTGTATTTTGTTTAATTTAGTTTTCAAATCTGGATTTACAAGAATGTATTATCTTCTAGTATTTGACTTTAATTATGAATAATTATAGGTATTGAAGATATGACCATCTGCCGAGACGTCCTCCAAAGACACCAATGGAATCTGGAGGTGGCAGTACAAGAGCAACTGAACCTTCGCGAAGGCCGACCTTCATTGTACGCATCAGAATCCCGACCTCCTGCAGTAGTTACCGATCTCATGGGGCAATTAGTCTATTATACACCACCAACAGATGGCTCTGGATCAGGCTTTAAGAAATATTTTAGGGCGCTATGGGGGTTTATGTGGAATATTTGTTACGGTACCATCATAACTTTGTTGCAAATAACTAGGAGATTGTTAGGTAACTCGATTCGAATTAAGGTTATTTTCATTTTCGGTAAATTTTAATTTTTTTCTAGGTTTGGAATATAGGCCTCAAACTGACGCTTTGCAAGAAGTTTTAGAGTTTATGCAATTTTACGAGGAGAAATTCGGATGTGAACATCCAGTCTTTTACCAGGGTACATTTTCACAGGTAAATGTTTTATAATGTGATTTAATAGTTGTATAACTATTAAGTATGAAAAACAATGGAAATTTTGAGTGAAAATCCTAATACCTAACAATAAAATTAGGCTTCCAGGTGAGGGTCAAAACTTAAAATATGAATGATCATCCTCTGTACATGTAATTTCTCTCTTGTTATTAATAAGCTTTAAAAAATACAATAATTTTATCAAAATCTAGATCCTAAGTGATGCCAAAAGAGAACTCCGATTCCTGGCGGTGTACTTACACGACCCAGAATCCAGCGATTCAGATGAATTTTGCCGGCAAACTTTGAATCATCCAGAAATCATCAGATTCATCAATCAGAATACTTTGTTTTGGGCTTGCTCGATTAAATCAGAGGAAGGCAGACGTACAATGAACGAGCTCAGATGTGGAAACTTTCCATTTTTTGGAATGTTGGTGTTGAGAGAAAACAGGTAAGGAATTTCTTAAAATGTCAATCATTTTTAGAATTATTTAATTTTCTTTAGAATGACTACAGTTGGTAGACTGGAAGGCTTTTCAGATCCCGGTTTGTTACTACAAAGGATGCGCACCATCGTCAATCAATTCGAAATGAGTTTGGTGCAAGCCAGGGCAGACAGGTTCGAACAAAGCATAAACAGGTAGTCAAATAATTAGCATTGAGAAGAAAGATTTTATAAATTACTTGAAATATTTGTTCAGGTCGATTCGTCAACATCAAGATGAAGCCTTTTTGGAGAGTCTTCGAGCTGACCAATTGAAAGAACAGCTCAAAGAGGAACGCAGACTGGCGGAAGAACAAGAGAGAAGACAAATTGAACAAGTAAGAGTTCATTTGATTTTTTTTAAAAGTTTCACAGGCTGGTCAAGATGTAGAAAATAACTCAATTTTGGTCAAATATTAGAGTGTTTTTTGAAACCTAACTTAATGAAACTCAACAATATATATAACATATTTTTATTTAAAAATTAGTCAAAATTTCTAGAATTTTGAGAAAATAGGTTTTTTACAAATTTGTTTAAGGCTGGTTTCTAAATTTACCTTATTTCACTTATTACTTATTTGACCAGTTTAACACTTGCAGGACACGAAATTATTATTTCGACTCCACAAGAAAAATAAAAAATATTGACTTTCCGCTTTTTTGAAATTTTAACAGATCAAACTCACATCTCAAGCTCAATAAGTGTTGTGTTTTTTTTTTTATTTAGGAAGCAAGGCAAGAGGAAATTAGAAAACTGGAGCTGCAAAGAGAAAAAATTGAATCGGTAGACAAAGTGCCATCAGAACCGGACACGTCGGATCCGGACGCCGTGCACGTCGTTTTCAAATTGCCATCCGGTCAACGTTTGGAGCGCAGATTCCTGAAATCACATTCTCTAGAGGTAAGTTTTGGATTTTCATACAAAAAAAAAAAAAAATGTTTATTGGCATTATTTTTTCCAGCATGTTTTCTATTTCGTCTTCTGCCATCCCCATTCCCCAGATTCTTTTGAAATTACTACGAATTTCCCAAAACGAGTGCTGAACTGTCGTCCGAGACACACTAGAGAAAAAGTGCAAACGCTAGAACAAGCCGGACTGAAAAACCGCGAAGTACTTTTTATTAATGATTTGGACGCGTAAAATTTTGACACATTCCCGCTCTTGAGTACCAAAGGGCGGTCTTTATATTCCTTTGTATAAATGTGATAAGCTAAAGGGCACTTTTATCCTGTCATTCATTGAAAACTTTTCTAACAAATGAATAAGGCGATTAAGAATTATTTTGAATCGTTTTTGTATGTTTATATTATTTTTTATTTTCAGTTTTTTTGGTTTCATTGGGTAGCAAATTTTAAATAAATCACATTAATAATTAATGTTAATTTATTCATATTGGAAAATTTACTGAATTCAGTGAGCCAAAAAAATACTTGCATATTTCTTTTTTTTGTTTTTTTTTTAAGTATTTTGTGATTTGATTTATCAGGGGTGTTAATCAGTCGCTTGTTAACTAACATTAATTAGCAGAAACTTAATTTGTGATTAGTTTGAAAGTAACGCACTATAACTAGTATTAGGATCATTTTTTAGCCCTTACATGGAAAAAAAAAAACAAAAAGGGTTAATCTATTTTGTTTTGATTTTTTTTTTATTTTTATTTTTTATTTCTTTTAGATTTTGTTTTGCTCAATTTTTCTTTTATAGATTGAATGGAAACCTGAAGGTAATTTTGCCCAAAAGTTTAGGTTAAATTGCATTTTTATTAAAATTTTTATTATTCACACAAGATTCTTGTGCGTTCTTTTTTTGGTACATTCGTCTTTATAATTATTTAGTGGTAGAAAAAGCATTTATTTAGTTTATTATATTTTTCATTGTTATTTTCTTTTGGCTCTATTCATTGTAAGAGTCATTTTTTAGGCCAAATAAGTATTTTTTTATAATAAAAAAATGATGTTCATTTGTATAAATAAATTAATAAAACATTTGTTGGTCTAAATTGTATTTCATTTTAGTTTTATCCCTGAAGCTCAAGATAAAGAAAATCAAATGTTTACAAAAGAAAGTAAGGAAAAATAAAAATTCTTTCCAAATTAACATTTGAATACAGAGTGTCCCAGCCGAGAGTGACCCATTTCAAATGCTCATAATTTTTAAACCAGGTATGCCAGCTACTTGCAGTTTGCACCATTCGACTTCTCTTGGCCTAATTTTTTTTTTGGTTCGTGCAATATTTTTTGACACTCATAGAAGGCGAGTAAAAAAATCTATGTTTAAACATCGAAATTCTCCAATCTTTTTAATGGAACACCCTGTATATTGCGTAAAGCAACTTTTTTCACTCATGTGATTGTCGCACTCGCCTTCGGCTCGTGCGTCAAAACAGCGGCGCCGACTTTTGAAAGTCCTCATGGGTGCAGGATAATAATAAATAACTTTATACATTTGTTTATAGGGAAAGGGGGTGGGCGAAAATTTTTTTTCGGATGCCACGCCCAAAAACGTCTATTTTATAGTGTTTCCGATTGCTAAATTCGGGCAGCACTAGAGCAACCCTCGTTCAATTTTTGTATACGATTTTATCCCCCCCGTATGCCTGGATAGGTAGTATAAATTTTAAACAAACATTTTTCTATTTTGGTGCATATCGAAGTTTTTTCGACACTAAAAGTAGTTTCGAATAGAAGCTCTTTGCAGTGTTGCCAGACTCTAAATATGAAAGTGTGGTACGTGGTGGTACACAATGCTCAAAAACTGTCGTACAGGGACGTACGCGCCACAAATACTTGTGGTACACATTATTTTATATTTTTAGCAGGTATATATTTACTTAAAAAATATGATTTTTTGAGAGCGCAAAATGTTGAAAACTTGGAAATAGACCTTGCATTAAAAATTACAGCAACGGGAGTGTCCGGAAATCAAATAAAACTATTTAATAAATTTACTAAAGTCATCTCGATTAAAATACTTTGTGGATAATAAGTCAAATTGGAAATAGATTCTTTTGTAACGTTGACAATAATTGCTAACTTAATATGAAAATTCCTGACAAGAAAATTTCTATCGGGATAATCCTCGAACATTGATAAATGCTCAACTTTCTCAAGCTTATAAGGCAATTTTTCGCAAGGATAATCAAGCATAATCTGATTATGCTGGGTTATTTGATGTGTCAATTGTGTCATACTCCCCTATAACTCCCTCCCCATGAACTTTTGGGCCTGCGAGTGACGTCACTATCAACAGATTATAACGATGACGTCACCCGCAGACCTCGATGGAATGCTCGCGATTCAGGCTGTGCTATGAGTTTATTTTTTCGTCGATTTTGAATATAGAAAAAATGATTTTCGGTCTGTTCTCACAGAAGAAATTAGGTGTTCTTGGTCCCCGACGGAGTAAGGAGAGTATGACACAATTGACACATCACATAATCCAGCAAAATCGATTATGCTTGATTATTCTCGCGAAAAATTGCCTTATAGACTGTTTCCAAGCAACTCTGTTCTACATTTTTTTCCCAATTTGGCTAACATTCATAAGCAAAAAGGAGAATTTAGAAAGGTAGATATTACCATAAAATATTACCCACTCAACCCAAGATTTCAAAACTGTGGTACATTACCGTACTACCGTACGCATTGATTTTCTTGTAACGAACATGCCCCGAACTGTCGTACAAATACCACACCTGTCGTACGTCTGGCAACGCTGGCTCTTTGTCACACTCCTTTTTTACTTATCGGAAGTTGGTAACACTGGCTGACTGATGGCCATCGAACTGTCATTCGCGATTTTATATGAGGTCTGTTTCTGTAAAAATCACAAACCAGTCAGAGCGAATTTCATTGGTTGAAAACAGTCAGAAAACTAGTTTCAACCAATGAAATTCACTCCGACTGGTTTGTGATTTTTGCAGAAACAGACCTATGGCGATTTCCATTTGTCAATCAGTGCGCACTGAGTGTATCCCGCGTCTTTTTCTAAAAGCATGTAAAATATAAGGATGGGGATATATTTTTTTTGCACTTATTCTACAAATCGAAATCGCTGATAGAAGATTTCTATATTTGGCATGTAGTGTTATCAACCTAAACATATGAAATCAGGAAATATGAGAATGAAACTTAGGCCCGTATTCTCAGTCACACCTCAAATTAAGGACCCCTTGCGACTTGAATGTCGCCTTGTGGTTTGTGACTTTGGCGTTTCATAGTTGCGAATTAAAGAATTCTTATTGAAGGAAGCCTCGTCTTAAGTTTTGCAGCTGACAACACCGCTTTCTACGAAATGTCTATTGTTATTGCCATGCTATTAGGTTGTCATTGTTGATATATGGTTCAATACTCTTTCGCATAGAATCATATATTAACAAGCTATAGCTGTAGAAATAGTGATTTTTTTGTGAAATTCATGCACAAGTAATTATGGCGACCAAGTACACCGAGAGAAAATGTTCCTGGTCCAGATGGTAGCTTAGCACAGAGTCATAGTGGAAAATAAAGAAATAGACGCCGTATTACTGGAGGAAAAACAGGCTGCCTGGGGATAAAACTTGTAGTTCCTTGACCATTTTGTAGATAATAACCCACAACCATGGAGTTGTTTCGCGATATAAAAATAATAATTGACAAAATATTACGTAGTGAAGTCAATTATTATTAAAAATTAAAGAAAAAATAAAATTATATTATACAATTAATCTATTAATTTTTTGATTTTTTTTACATTTGTCTTTTTTAATGTCTTAACTTTTCAATGTTTCAACTTTCTGTTCCTTTTCCTCTGCCAAATGCGGAGTCTAGCGACCTAAAATACTTTGTAATATGTGAGCGATAGCCCCTGACATGGGCGCCGGCAGCAGGGTGCAAGGGGGTGCACTTGCACCCCCTGTCAGAAATACATTGAAAAAATTATTTCTATTCTATTCTTTTTTTTTAATAGTTACTGTTTGAGAAAATTGGCGAAACGAGAAACGATGTTCTCCTCGCACTCTTTGTTCCCCGCGACATTCCTCGGGTCACTTCCGGCTCGGATCCGGTTATTTTATTTTTATTTCGCGCCATCCACCTGTAGAATGGAGGGAATTTCGAATTTGCTTAAATTCTAGTTTATTGATACAAATTTCTTCAACTTCTACGATTTGATTACCCGGAAAAAGGATTAAATTGCGAGACGCCTGTGCCCAGGAACGGACATATCACCGGGCAGTTCTGTGCGCCGCCCAGGGGCCCACGGTCCAAAAGGGTCCCACGATGCTGCGGAAAATTTCGAATATGTAGAAAAAAATGTCATACATGCAAATCAAATATAATAACATTTTAATTAGGCTACATTAAATAGGAACTCAAGTCCTATCTTCTAAAATATTATCGCTATACCGCCCATGCCTAATAATATACGTTTCTGAGGTTGAGAGCATCTGGCAACGCTGAGCGTGCTTCCGAAATATTTCGAATATATCCAACCATAACTCCGAGAAACACAGACCGACCCAACCGTCTATATATTAGGTCTGTTCCAACACGTCAAAAACCGTCCCATGAACGGTTTCGAAACCACTCAGTAAACGCATTTCAGTTTCTACGCACAAATTTTACGCTTTGCGCAGAATCGTGACGGTACATTGTACGGTTTCCTGTTGTGTTGGAACAGACCTAGTGATTTGATTTTTCACCACTATTTCCAGGCCGCATTTTTATTATCCTACTTTTTACGTGACACTCAAGGGCAGTGGCGCACCCAAGGGAGAGTATCGGTCCAGGTCTCCTCCTAGGCCGCCCGTCCAAAACTGTATTTTTACGTACATACAAATGAAATTTGACATCATGGCGTGGCACCCTGACACGTCAATTTTTTATTCAGAATTTCAGACACAAGCCACAACCTTTGTAGGGTTCCCCCATACCCCAAACATATTTTCTGGGTACGCCACTGCTCAAGGGATAGGTTAGGCCTAGGGGCCCCCAAATATATTTTGCCCTGAGAGCCACTCGTCCCTAGATCCGCCACTGCTGGTGCCACTTTCCACCGACGTGAAAACATCATATAACTTACTTATGGCCGTTTTCACCAGCCATTTTAGGGGAGCCCTAACGATAAGTATTCCCTAAAATGACATTTTTACATGGAAAAATGTCAGTTTAAGGCATACCTATCGTTAGGGCTTCCCTAAATTAGTTAGTGGAAATGGCCATAATGGCCATAATGGCCATTTCCACCAACTAATTTAGGGAAGCCCTAACGATAGGTATGCCTTAAACTGACATTTCTCCATGTAAAAATGTCATTTTAGGGAATACTTATCGTTAGGGCTCCCTTAAAATGGTTGGTGGAAACCAAGGTTAATCACTTAGAATATAGACCGTCAGATAGTGACAGATTTAGGTGCCCCATTTTCGCATACAAGCCTCGAAGAGAGTTGAAAAATACTTCGATGTTGAGTAGAATGGAGTGAAATTCACGAGTCGCCCCTGGGGATAAAATATGGAAAATTCGATTTTCCTTAATCGAAATAAAAGGTGTCAGTTGCTCATATTTCCATGCAAGCCGTGTTCACTAAATGATTAATTATTAAAAACCTAGCTTCGGAAAACCAAAGGCTTGAGTGCTGCAGGTGGCTGAAGGGTTGAAAAAAGGGCTTTATCTTGTAAGAAAAAATCGAAAGTTGGACAGATTTTTGCACACAAGCCTATTGGAAGTATGAAAACGTCCACCGTCACTGTCACTACCTCGACAAACATATTGGCTTGAGTAGTGGGCCATTCAAGCCAATATGTTTTTCGGGGAAGTGACGATGACCGAATTTTCCATATTTTATCCCCAGGGGCGACTCGTGAATTTTACTTCATTCTACTCAACATCGAAGTACTTTTCAACCCTCTTCGAGGCTTGTATGCGAAAATGGGGCACCTAAATCTGTCACTATCTGACGGTCTAATAGTATATTGTTTTATTAGGAGTAAAAGTGATACTTTTTGTGGCAAGACTAAATG